GCCTTATCGGTATAGCAGGATTTGAACCTGCGACCATTAGGCTAATAGCCCAATGCTCTACCAACTAAGCTATACACCCAGAATCAAGATAGCTGCAGGGCGGTGCGCCGCACGTGATGCTCGGGTCAGTGGTGGGTGTCCTCCTCCGCACACTGCGCACCCCGGTGCGCTGTGCACAATGCGAGATGTGGTGCGCCGATCTACCATGCGCTGTGCACAGGTGCGCGCTGGCATGCCCGTGACATGTGCACATGGTGCACGCAGCTTTTTTTTTTTTTTTTTAGCACGATTTGTGCTGTTTTCCAATACAAGGCCTTCGATTCCGGGTCAGCCATCGCTTGTGCAGCTTCGAACACCTCAACGAAGGAGGCAGCAGAAGGCCGTCGATTCCGGGTCAGCCATCGCTTGTGCAGCTTCGAACACCTCAACGAAGGAGGCAGCAGGAGGCATCGAGAGCAGGCAGCGCGAGCAAGAAGTCATCAGCGAGGCGGCTCAGGTCGGCCACCACCACCTCTCTCTCTCTCTCTCTCTCTCTCTCTCTCTCTCTCTCTGACCCCCTGCCCCTAGCTCATCCTGCACCTTAGCGAGGTGGCTCAGGTCGGCCACCACCCTCTCTCTCTCTCTCTCTCTCTCTCTCTCTCTCTCTCTCTCTCTCTCTCTCTCTCTCTCTCTCTCTCTCTCTCTCTCTCTCTGTGACCCCCTGCCCCTAGCTCATCCTGCACCTTTATTCCCTCCTTTCTCGTCTATCCGCCATTGTCCAACCACCATTGCCCGTCCTCTCCCCCTCCTGCACCATCGCACATCCTAGCTCGCAGTGGCTCGTCATGGACTGTCATCCCCTAACTCTGCTCCCTCCTCCATCGCCTCCTCCCTCCTCCATCGCCTCATCCCTCCTTCATCGCCGCTCCTATCATCGCACATCCTCCCTCCTTCCTCATAGCCCGTAGCCCATCGTTGCCCGTCGTGCACAGTTGTCCCCAACTCTGCTCCCTCATTGATCGCCTCCTCCCTCCTCCATTGCCGCTCCTCCCTCCACCATTGAAAATCCTCCCTTCTCGTCCATTGCCCCTCCTTTTCTTCATCCTCCATCTTCCCTCCTCCCTCGTCCATCGCCCCTGGCTCCTTCACCATCGCACATCCTCCAAGCATACAAGTACCCGGGCGGGTCACACACACACACCCAAGCATAGAAGTACGCTGGCAATGTGGAGGACGTGCGATTGTGGAGGGGACAGGGGCGATGAGTGAGGGAGGAGGGAAGATGGGGGATGGAGAAAAGGAGGAGCTTTGGATGAGAAAGGAGGGAGGAGCGACGATGAAGGAGGGAGCAGAGTCCGGGATAACAGTACAAGACGAGCAACGGCGGGCTACGGGCTATGAGGGCGGACGGAGGATGTGCGATGGCGGACAGAGGAGCGGCAATGAAGGAGGGAGGAGGAGCAATGAAGGAAGGAGCAGCGATGAAAGAGGTATCCACTCACACAACTACTTTTGGGTAGGTATCTACCTGGCATCACGCCCAGAGGGGTGTTTGTTTTTTTTCTTTTTCTTTTTTGTGGATGTGAGCGAACGTCGTGCTTGTTGGCCGTGTTTGTTTTTTCTTTCCCAGAAGAGTACGAGGAAAAAAAACAAAAAGGGAACCCAGGCTTGGCAAAACTCAGGTGCGCAATGAAAATCAAGGTCGGCAAAATCAGGCTTGGACGTAGTAGTGGTCTAAAGAAGAATAATAGAACGACTGGGGCCTACGATCACCCATCTGAAATCGAACAGATTCTCAAACTACAGCTAACGCTCCTTTGTATAATTTGTTTGGTTGTTCTCTGTGGTACCATGGCTCCTATGTTGTTTTCTACTTGCTTTAGTTTACATCAGGGTCACCAGCCCGTACGTACGGAGGTCCCCGGGCAGACCTCCGTACGTACGGGCGTTCGGGGTCCCGTACGAGGTCCGAACCCGACGACGTTCGGCCCCCGCCAAAAATTATTTCGGGGCCAAAAAAAAATAATTATTTTTTTCTGAGTTTTTTTTTCTGAGTTCTCTATGACGTGAGGTACATGCCTGTAAATTTTCAAGTCATTTGACTGAGCCAAATAAGAATTAAAAATCGCCAAAGATGGCGGTGTCAAAACGTGCTCGCCCACATATTTTTTCACTTTTACTTTTTGTTTTCACTTTAGTTCGGGGTCTAAACAATTTTATTATTTTTTGAAACTTTTTTAGTGGGTTTTGTATTATGTGAAGTACACATCTGTAAATTTTCAGGGCATTTAGATATGCCCAAAAAAAAAAAGAAAAATCGCCAAAGATGGCGGTGTCGAAAACGTGCTCGCGCATGCACTAAATTTAATTCTCTTTTTATTTTCATTTATTTTTATTATTAGTATTTGTTTTCCGTATTTTATTTTTATTTCAAATTTGGTAAGGAATTCGGATGTAATGCTCAGGCAAATCTTGTTTAATTTTATTTTCTCCATAACATATCTTTTTTTCAGATTTTTTTGATCACTTCTTTTT